CGGTTACAAAATTAAAATGATCACAGAGAGAATAAGAAAAGAAAGCAATGTGTGAATGTCTGCTGGGCAAATGACTGAAATGACACAAAAGCTGCTGTCACTCAGAAAGGTCGTCGCAACCTTTCTTGCAAGAAAACCAAGGAGTCTCGGAGACGTAGACTGAGGGAAGTTGACTGAACTGCAGCAGATTGCTGTGTTTCCCATAGTGATATACTACTCGAGTCTGGTCTCGGACTTGAGACCGGTCTCGAGACCGATTTCTGCTTTCTCGGACTCGTCTTGGACTTATTCCTTCAAAGACTCGGCCTTGACTCGGTCTCAACCCTTCAATGACTTGGTCTTGACTCGGCCTCAGACCACAGTGGGAGGAGGAGGACTCGTAATTTTCAGACCGGCTCCTGGAGATTTTTTTTCCAGTGCATTTTTTTAAATGTTCATAACAACACATAACAACATAATATAAAATGCAATAATAATAATAAAATGCAATGTTGATGGGCATTATTTGAAAATGACATCCCATGGTGCAATACAAAGATGCTGCCGTCAGAGCCATCAGTGTCTTCAGTTGCTGCCTGGTGAGAGCGGCGGCAAAATGAGCAACGAGTCTACCATCATCAGATTCGCCTTTCAGATCCACAAACCATTCAGACTGATCTCATGAAGTAGCATGTGTCTGACACGCCAATTCGTATTTCCATTTTTGGCGTGCTATCAACATGCATAATCGCTTTTAAGCGTGTTTAAGAACGCCGTTGACTTAACGTTATTACTGTATATAAATATGACTTACCTCAACCCTGTCCCTAAACCTACCCGCCACTGGGGTTAATGGCATTTATTAGACTGATCTCATGAAGTAGCGTGTGTATGACACGCCAATTCGTATTTCCATTTTTGGCGTGCTATCAAGACGCATAATCGGCGTGTTTCAGCGTGTTTATGAATGCCGTTGACTTAACGTTATATAAATATATGACTTACCTCAACCCCATCCCTAAACTTAACCGTCACTGGGGTTAATGGCATTTATGACTGGAGATTTGACTGCGTGTACACGCGGAATGACGTGAACGTTAATGGCGTAGACATACACGCATACACGCGGATAGCTCAAAATGCGTAGAGATAACACGCCACCTGACTCGAAAGTGCCGTGTATGTTTTCGCTAAAGTCATGATGTCATGTTGCATTTATGAGAGTTCCCCTACCATCCTAGGAAAAAAAAGATCACTCAGATGTGGATCTACATTTTGCTTCGTTTCGCTCGGACTTTTGACGGCGTGTAACTCGGACATTAATGGCGTAGACATACACGTGGATAGCTCAAAATGCATAGAGATAACACTCCACCTGACTCGAAAGTGGCGTGTATGTTTACGCAAAAGTCATGATGTCATGTTGAACCGTTGGTGACCATACACCTGCATTATATGACTGACAGACAAGAACGGTATGACCTAAACATATCAAAAATTACTGCAGAAACAAAGACACCTTCATCTTGGATGCCCTTAAGGTAAGCTAAAACATACTCGGCTGTATTTGAAAACCAACGGACTCGGTCTCGACTCAGACTCGACCCTTCAAAGACTCGGTCTCGACTCGGACTCGACCCTTCAAAGACTCGGACTCGACCCTTCAAAGACTCGGTCTTGACTCGGACTCAGCTGTATTTGAAAACCAACAGACTCGGTCTCGACTCGGACTCGACCCTTCAAAGACTCGGACTCGACCCTTCAAAGACTCGTTCTCGACTCAGACTCGACCCTTCAAAGACTCGGTCTTGACTCGGACTCAGCTGTATTTGAAAACCAACAGACTCGGTCTCGACTCGGACTCGACCCTTCAAAGACTCGGACTCGACCCTTCAAAGACTCGTTCTCGACTCAGACTCGACCCTTCAAAGACTCGGTCTTGACTCGGACTCAGCTGTATTTGAAAACCAACAGACTCGGACTCGACCCTTCAAAGACTCGGACTCGACCCTTCAAAGACTCGTTCTCGACTCAGACTCGACCCTTCAAAGACTCGTTCTCGACTCAGACTCGACCCTTCAAAGACTCGGTCTTGACTCGGACTCAGCTGTATTTGAAAACCAACAGACTCGGTCTCGACTCGGACTCGACCCTTCAAAGACTCGGACTCGACCCTTCAAAGACTCGTTCTCGACTCAGACTTGACCCTTCAAAGACTCGGTCTTGACTCGGACTCAGCTGTATTTGAAAACCAACAGACTCGGTCTCGACTCGGACTCAACCCTTCAAAGACTCGGTCTTGACTCGACGCTTCAAAGACTTGGTCTTGATTCGGACTCAGCTGTATTTGAAAACCAACGGACTCGGTCTCGACTCAGCCTCAACCCTTCAAAGACTCGGTCTCGACTTGGACTCGGCTGTATTTGAAAACCAACAGACTCGGTCTTGACCCTTCAAAGACTCGGTCTCGACTCGGACTAGACTGTATTTGAAAACCATCGGTCTAGACTCGGCATAGGTGGTCTCATCCCCATCACTAGTTTCCCACATTATAGATTCACACGGGTAAGACTGTACTAAAGGGGATTCTGGGCGATCTGCTGTTTAACCATTTCATGACATTTGCTATTACCTTGAGTCTTCTTCTTTCACTCGTCTTGGCAGTGTGCTGGGCTGATGACTGACTTCATTGCAGAAACAAAAAAGCTATATGGAGATCACTGAGCTTGGGGACAGGGAACATTCAGACTGATGTCAAAGTGACGGAGCAAAGAGAAGGGGTGGTTGAAAGCTGGAATTAAAGGGAGAGATATACTGTACAAATCCAGTATAGGTAAAGTGCTATAAACAATCTCTCTCTTTTGCAGTAACTGGGAAGGATTTTGTGGAAAAACACAGCTTGAAAAACTCCAAAGACTTCCAAAAAAGCTGCAGCGATGGCGTCTGCTCTCTGGCGTCGGCTGGGCACACACCGGCTGGGCATTCTGGAGATTTGCAGTCTGTTGATGTTAATATTTGGAATCACGGCATTGGGTGAGCAACCTCTCATCTTCAGTTCATCCAAAGACACTTAACTGGAGAGGGGAAAAATCTTGTCTGGAGAGAAATAACTGTAAAACAAGATTCTTTCCCCGTTTTGTTGTTGTTTTCCAGTAGGCCGATATGTTTTCAAGTATATGAACTTTTTAACATACAGAGACTGAACTGTAATAATTCCAGATCATTCTAATGCTGAAACCTAGAGAAATTACATCAATTGATTTGCATAGAAACTGACAACAAGCTGCTACTGACATCTAGTGGTTACACTAGAAATATTCTCTTTCATGAAATCCTTTTCTTTAGATGTGAACAAGTTGAATAATTATGCAAAATGAAACAACACTGAAAAAAATGTTACTTTGAAACTTATTTCTACAGAAATCGATAATAAATTTTGCAATGAATTACAAAGAGGACGCAACAATTAAATTAAACATTACATGTTATATTATCTTGTAAAACAAACTCCAATAGAATCTTTGTTTTATTTACAAATGATTATTTTTATAGTGTAAATACCTTGCAAACATCGTAAAAGATGACACAGAAAACTACACAGAATTACATCTGTCACAGAAATAAATAACAGACAAAAAAGAGAATTTGTGCACAAAAAAAATATATTGCACACACATTCATAAAAGAGTGTGTAATTAGTCCATAATTAGTCAATGCAAATCACCTCATGAATGACCATGCATGCATACAGCTCTCTTGTCTCCATGTTGAGTGATGTGTGTAAACGGTGATTGTAGTTCTAGCACACACAAAAAAAAAGATTCAAAATGAATAAAATCAGTGAAATGCAGAATCAGAACACCTTGCAAACCTCCAATAACTTAATATGTTAAATAAAACATACCTTTGTATGCATTTATTCTCACTTTATTGACCTATGTACTTTCTTCTGACCTTTGATAATTCTGTTAAACCAAGTAAAACATTTATTATCGGTTCTAAACTTTCTTCTCCTGCTCTGTTATCCAGAACAGAGAGCAGCTGAAAGGTTTGCTTGAGCATGTGTGTGTGTGTGTGTGTGTGTGTGTGTGTGTGTGTGTGACCTCTACTCTGAGTGAATATGCATTTCCTTCAGCCTGAGGCTTATTATTTCACTTTTGGTGTGAAAGGGTCTTTACATTTGCCCAAAAATATAACTAAAATGTAACAAATTTGGTTTAAAAAAAAACAAACAAGCCCAGCCCAGGTGAGAAATAAAGTAACGCAAAAGTACCGTAACACATTACTTTTCGAAAAAAGTAAAGCAATTAGTATTTCACTATTTCAGGTTTGCATTCTCGAGCACCAAACACTGTTGTGCAAATGAGCAGCTGGAGCGTGTTAGGGGTTTTCTGTTACAACGGTGTTATGTTAGCATAAGTTAATAACTAATAATCTTTGCAATGGAAGTGAATTAATCAAAACTAGCTTTAGCTGAACATTAACTTTATCCCAGAGCTGCTGTAAAGCCAAACAATCTGTAAAAGCTGCTTTGACGAAATTTATATTGTTAAAAGCGCTATATAAATTAAGGTGACTTGACTTTTTAAAGGAGTAATACACAATATTGCACTGCATTACTTTTCAAAGTAACTTTCCCCAACACCGATTATAAATAGGGGAGAGCGGGGCACAAAGGAACACTTTTTGACTTTGTCAATTTGTGTAAATCTACTTAGGGTTTTTTCCCCCCACATTAATTTCCCACATGTCTAGTACAATTATGTGTGGTTTTGTTTTATTAATACAGTGTATACTTTTTTCTTGATTTACCCTGAAAGAATGGAAGTGAAATGTGACAACATGCCCCATAGGTGGGGTACATTGTAACATGTGAGGGGCACATTGTAACATATAACAGCTTAAAATGCTATCTAATCTAAGTCAAACCAAAATATTTCACACTCTCGCCTTGGGCACCAAATAACCTAGAGCCGGCCCTGGAGGCCTGGACTCACATGACATCAGTCCAGCAGGTGTCAGTAGCAGTGCTGTCTCTGCTCGCAGTGCCATGTCTCGGCCACAGCAGAGGAAGACTCGGCTTAGCGGCTGAACAAGAAGAAGAAGAAGAAGAAGAGCAAGAGCTGTGAGAAAGTCAAGAGAGACTCCGCGATCAGCGTGGCGGAGACCCGAGGAAGAGAAGAGCCGCTGCTGATCTGCCCGTCCCCCTTCCACCAGACGCGGCCCGAGGGAAGCTGACGCGCCGCCAAGGACTCGCTGTCGTGTCGCCCGAGGATCGCCCGCCACCGCACGATGGGGAACGCAGCGACCGCCAAGAAAGGCAATGAACTGGAGAGCGGTAAGAGGAGGAGCGCGGGGTCGCCCTGCCGTGCGTTATAAAGCCCTCGCTGCTCGGGGAATGTCACTGTTTGTTTACCTCTGTAGCCTGTGCTAATGCTAACGTTAGTTAGCCGCTTAGCGAGTGCGGGAGTGCGCTTCCGAAAGTGTCATCGCGAGGAAATCCGCGCTCATTCTGTCTTCACCACAACCAGCCATAGTGTTTCTGTGTTTAAATCACACTGATTTGTGTGTGTGTGTGTGTGTGTGTGTGTGTGTGTGTGTGTGTGTGTGTCATGTCGAAACCACAGAGCGAGTCGAGCTAGCTTGAGCTTGATCCGAGGCCTGATGCTATAGTATCAGTGGCGGTCATTCTTCTACACCAGTGGAAATGCTTAAGTTATATAACGATAACCTGCAACTTAAAAACCTAAAAGGGCTTTTGTTTTCGCAACTTATGCAATGGAGTTAGAAGGTTAGAGGCTATTAAGCTGTTAGCTAGTTAAGAGAGAGGCCCAGGCCTGTATCAGGAGCGAAACACTCGCTCAAACGCCGTTTCTTATCGTTCACACATGTTCCCCAGATCTTCAGCTGACATTAGATAACGCCTGTGGAAGTGAGCTGTTGATCCAGTCGTCCTGAACCGAGGCCTGTGGACAGCAGCACAGTCTCTAGGAAACAACAGAAAGCCATTTAGTTAATTAAACGCTGAGCTCATGATAAACCAGCGGCTACTTTCACATAATCTTAAACCAACTATAAACATATGCTTGTCTGAAACTAGTTCAACCGAGTAGAAAGCTGATAACCGGCTGCCTGTAAGTATCGAGTATGAGTCGATCTGTTTTAATGGTCAAACGCTTAAAACATGTTGATCTTCGAGAGGAACATGTATGTGTGATCAGATAATCTTTCATCAAAGTTGCATACATTTTTGAACAAACCCGTTCTTGTCTTAAGACTTTTATTAATTCTTTTCAAATGCTGACTACTCTGTATATTATGCTCTTTTTCATTGAACTACAGTTCATGCGCCAAATTGGACCAAACAAAACATGCCATGGCCAATCACAGGTCCACACAAACTCCGTGTGCAGAACATATCCCGGGCTTCTGGGGGCCGTGAGCAAAACTTTATCTGGGAGCCGCTGTTCATTAAAATGAGCCCAGAGCCTTTAATCTGTTCTTTCAGAGCAGTTTCACTGGCAACCAACAACAGTGAGCTAATGCAATTCAAAATGCGAGAAAAAAATTGAAACAATAGGACAAATTCAACAGAAAAAGACATGAATGGCCTACTACTAGGCTAGCCTAATAATAGACAGGTATTTAATAAAATAATGAAATACAACATTGAATAGTCTTTCTATAGATGTATCTCTCATGTCTGTGAGACAAGCACTGAGTTTCGGTTCATTTTTGTGACGTGCGCCTGTTCACGGAGACCGAGGCTGCAGAAAGCACATCCTGTTTGTTTTCTTTATTTTGCAAAGGCACGCATTTTCTTATTGTTGTGAGGTTACACACATAAAAGTGGTGCGTCATGTTGTAAACGTGCTAAACTTCAGCTTCCACACACACTTGGAAATCTGTCTAATGATAGCACACATTTATCTAGGTTAACGTTAGAGCGAGCGACCTTGTGAATTTGCTATTTGTATGTTTCAAATGTTCAGCCGTATTTGAGATTGATGATAGGGCTAGGCGAATGTTTGTATTTCCTGCCGATATACTGTAAAGCCTGCGTGACTTCATTTCCTGTGGACCCTTTTCTTTTACTGCGATTAACTTAGTAATAAAGTTTAGGTTGACTTGTCGAATTCAGCAAAAATACGGGTTAAACTTGAAAAATTTGAATGTCGTGCAAAAGTTCATAAAAGGTGAACCTAATATATTATATAGACTCATTACATGCAAAGTGAGATATTTCAAGCCTCTATTTGTTCTAATTTTGATGATTATGGCGTACAGCTTATGAAAACCTTTTCACAATATTCTAATTTTGAATTTAAGGTTTTCGTGTGTGTGCGCGCACAGAAAACAGCGTGCGAGTCCTCTTGCTCTTGATGCCTGACTCTACTTAAAACACTTGCAAAAAGGATAATCTTTCACCCTATGATGGTTAAACTTTGCAATTAATCGGCGAATCGCATGCGTCCGGAATCGGGGGACAGCCGGCCCGTACGGATCAACTATGACCCTTATACTTGACATCACACATCACGATATCAATGCTAAAACGATATATCGTGCACCCCAAGTAATTAGTTACACTGTAAACTTTAACCCTATTATTAACTTTAATACTTAATAATAGTCATTTTGATTTTAAAATCATTTTACGGAGGGACTAGGCTAGCTGTCAGTCTAGGTGGGGATTTACAGAGACTCTTTCTGCAGGTTACATCGCTACGCTATGCTTTACGATGGAGTCATTGAATCATTTACTCAACAGATTTGTCCAAAAACAGATTGCGGAACAAAACGCTATCTGTGTTGCTCTGAAATGCAGAAAGGTCATGTTATGGCATTGTGTGTACCTTTAGGCTACTCATTAGTAGGAACAGGAAATATTGTGCCTAAAATGTAACTTACTGAATATTAAGATCTTGTGGTAACACTTTTTTTTACCGAGTACTATGTACTTATTGTCGTAAAATTAGTAAATTATGCATAGCTCTCCCCTAAACCAAACCCCAATCCTAATAATCAAAATAATCTAAACTTTTAAAGTAAAAGGCTATCGAATGAATAGGTGCAAAACTGCCTGTGTGCTGTTGATGATGTTACAAAAATGTATATCATTTAAGTAAATTTAGGATTTCTAGACATTTCTACTGGAACATACAAAGCAGACTCACTCCTTGCTCTGGTTTCATTGGCAATATTTATAAATCATGCACCTAATTTCATTTAAAGAGTTAGTTCACCCAAAATGAAAGCTCTGTCAGTAATTACTCTCCCTCACTTTGTTCAACCCCGTAAGACCTTCGTTCATCTTCGGAACACAAATGAAGATATTTGTGATTAAATCTGAGAGCTGGATCACAATCTGACGGCGTACCCCCGCAGACCCCTATCCGTCGACGCGAACCCCTCTCCGACCCCTCCGCCGTAGCTCAACGTGCACCTCCAAAAATTTGTAACTACGCGTCGAGGCGACGCAGACAGCAAGGGCTTTGATTGGTCAGATTATACATAATTTCAGGAGTATAGCTTTTCCGATTCCCCACCCCCCTCCGCTATAGCGCTATTTTTAACATTTGCAGCCTCGTTCTGATAATTATAATACTCGTATAAAGAAAGTAAATAAAGAATTAAACTAAAAATAAACTGTTTTTTAAATTTCATTGTTAATATATATGTCTATTTTCTTTTCTTTCTTTTTTTGCTCTCAATAAACTTCAATCAATCAATAAATCAACGTTTGTTTTGAAACACAGTTTGTTGTTTATTTTCAATACAATGTTCACGGTTACATCATTGATAATACAGTACTAACGTTAACCAAGTCTGCCACGGGACACATTATCCTGCCATAGCACAGTTCCATTGGCCGCTGGAAAACGAGAAATCCGGCCACCATCTTGAACCGGTCGTATTCCGTATTTCGTTGCGTGGCAGCAGATAAGATGCCAGAGCACTGTGCAGCATTTTTTTTGTTTGTTTTTTGCACACAAAAAGTATTCTCGTCGCTTGATAAACTTAAAGGAGTAGTTCACTTTTAAAAAAACACTTTTGCTGATAATTTACTCACCCCCATGTCATCCAAGATGTCCATGTCTTTCTTTCTTCAGTTGAAAAGAAATTAAGGTTTTTGATGAAAACATTCCAGGATTTTTCTCCATATAATGGACTTCAATGGGAACCAAATGGTTCAAGGTCCAAAAGACACTTTCAGTGCAAACTGTTCAAAGGGCTTTAAACGATTCCAGATGATGAATAAGGGTTGTTGTTACTTGAAGAGTGCAGTGTTATGTTGCGTCATGTAGTATTTGTCCTGAAAAGGCGATGTCTGTATTACATTTTTAACTTATTTGTATTTTTAATACATTTTAATCAATAACTTTAAAAGCACACTCTTTTTACGACTAAAATAACAGTCAAGGGTAAAAAAAAAACCTAATTCCCAAAAATGAAAACAGAAAAAACAGAATTTGTGAAAAAATAAAATGGATTTCATAGAGCCCAATCTATGGAGGAGTGATCCAGCTCTCAGATTTAATCAAAAATATCTAAATTTGTGTTCAGAAGATTAACGAAAGTCTTACAGGGTTGAACATGAGGATGAGTAATTACTGACAGAGTTTACATTTTTTGGGTGAACTAACTCTTTAATTCATTTTAACAGATCAGAAGTTTGCTATTACGTTCCCAGTTAGCTCTGTTTATTCTTTATATCATGAGTGTGTTGTTGGACAATCTCTAATTCTGTCAAATATCAGCTCAAAATCTGTTTGTCTGCACAGCCTTAACATTTCCATAAGTTCATCTCAAACCTCGAGCCTCTCCAGTCTTTGTCTATATTAACCAGCTGTACTTCACGGTTAGCTCCAGGCCGCCGCATACTTGCGGAGCAGGAACGCACCATAAAAGGATGAGGCGAAGACGCCTGTAAACCCTTCAGACAGACTCTAGCTGTTAGGAAATAGGCGCCGAACGGGACAGTGCCCAAAAGCACGTGCACACACTGCTCTCCAGTGATTCCCTATTAGTTCTTGAGGACTATGGTTGTATCTTTTGTCACATCTAATCCATGTCTTGCACCGTCTAACTGATGTGATTGTTTGACAGAAATCTCTCTTTTGTATCTTTTGTCTTTCTCTCCTTTTTCTCTCTCTGATTCATCATCCCATCCATGTGGGTCAATGTTCCTGAAATCCATGGTGATCTGTAGAGACTTTTGGTATGATCACGATTACATTGGGTTACCGCAGTGGCGGAGAAACGTTTGTGGGGTGTAAAAGAAAAGCCTGGTGAATGTAACGATTGGCTGATCATTTCTCCGTCACTGCGGTCAACTGACGTCTGCTGTGTGTTGTTCTTGTGATGTGTTAATCAGTAATGTAAACATGCATGCTTCACAAGACCCACTGATGTCCACGGTTGCCTTGTGAGATTGCCTGATTTTGATGTCTAGAAAGTCTAAGTAGCTAGAAAAACATTCCCTCGTTGACTTTTTTCTTTGAATGTCCATTAGTTGAGTTTACTTTTGGACTCTGAAATGGTGTTTTTGTGTTTCCCTCCTTTCAGTGAAAGAGTTTCTAGCCAAAGCCAAAGAAGATTTCTTGAGGAAATGGGAATCGCCACCACAGGTCAGGGTTTGTTTGTGTTTGCAGTGATGCAGTATTGTAGGAAACTTTCTTTAAAACGTGTGTGTTTGTTGTCCCTGAAGAGCACAACTGGCTTAGATGACTTCGACAGACTGAAGACGCTGGGCACAGGGTCCTTCGGCAGGGTCATGCTGGTCAAACACAAGGCCTCTGATCAGTTCTACGCCATGAAAGTGCTGGACAAACAGAAGGTGGGTCGGGGGTCGCAGAAGCACTGTGTTTATGATGTCCCTCTCAGTATGTCACACCATAAACATGTCATGTATTACCAGTTCTTGTTTAAAAGACAAAAGGATAGTCGGTGCTTTCAGTTTAAAAAGTTGGATCGATACAGGGCTTGACATTAAAGGAGTAGTTCACTTTTGAAAAAACTTTTGCTGATAATTTACTCACCCCCATGTCATCCAAGATGTCCATGTCTTTCTTTCCTCAGTCGAAAAGAAATTAAGGTTTTTGATGAAAACATTCCAGGATTTTCTCCATATAATGGACTTCAATGGGGACCAAACGGTTCAAGATCCAAAAGAAACTTCCAGTACAAACTGCAAACTTGTTCAAAGGGATTTAAACGATTCCAGACGATAAATAAGGGTATTATCAAGCGAAACGATCACTCATTTTTAAAAAGAAAAATAACAAAGTTTAAGTTTTATAAGATCAAACGCTCGCCTTGCTCTGTTCTGTGGTGCACTCCTGTTCGAACTCGTTTTTCAAAATGAACAAATCTTTTTCCAAATCAATTCGTTCGTTTCTTTCGCCGAATGAACCAAATGACTTGGAAAAAGATTTGTTCATTTTGATGAACGAGATCAAACAGGAGTGCACCACAGAACAGAGCAAGGCGAGCGTTTGATCTTATAAAACTTAAACTTTGTTATTTATTTATAAAACGAGCGATTGTTTCGCTAGATAAGACCCTTATTCATCGTCTGGAATCGTTTAAAGCCCTTTGAACAAGTTTGCAGTTTGCACTGAAAGTGTATTTTGGACCTTGAACCGTTTGGTTCCCATTGAAGTCCATTATATGGAGAAAATCCTGGAATGTTTTCATCAAAAACCTTAATTTCTTTTCGACTGTAGAAAGAAAGACATGGACATCTTGGATGACATGGGGGTGAGCAAATTATTAGTAAAAGTTTTTTCAAAGTGAACTACTCTTAACTAGTTTGCTCACTGTGGTAAAGTTAGAGCCACAATTTTGACATCGATACCACCAGGAAAAACTGCTATATCGATATTTTTTTATATTATGTCATAATTTGGCCACAGGTTTATTAGGCTGCTGTCCCTTTAAGAGCTGACGCAAGGTTCCGTTATACTGTTACACGTGTGTTTTCTGTCTCAACTGTTTACATTCACTTATATAAAATGATAGTTCCAGTCCTTGATTCTGATTGGTTAAACCGCGTGCAAAGCCATTGTAAAATACTCCACAAACACACACTTTGATCGTATCACATTAGTGTGGCCGCATTAGATTAGTGTTACACACACACACACCTGTGTGTGTAACTTTGTTTGTGATTGTTTGTTGCTGCATGTGTTGCTTGGCAACCTCTCTGGAAATACATTGCTTGGAGGAGGAATAAATGTATTGTAACATATTTGTTGCTGGTGTTTATTTTATGAATAAAATGCATATTAAAATTAGAGCCAGATAGATATATCGGCAGACCGATATTATGGGCCGATATTAGGCATTTTCCAAACTATCGGTATCGGCAGTTATAATGGCCGATGAATGAATATTTCAAAAATAAAATAAAAATGGACGAAACACACTTGAACCATGTCATGAGTGTTGTAAAGTTTGTCCACCAGAGGGCACTCTACACCGTTCCTGTTGGCAACACTCGTTGAGTTGGTCACGAGACGTACATTGCTGGAATAACAATTAAAAGAACATCCCCATCAGTTCTCTTAACTCAAATAAGCATGACAAAATTTGTGAGTATCATGTCCAGTTTAAAAAAAATAAAATAATAAAATATCGGCCGATATATATAAATAATAATAAAATATCGGCCGATATATCGGATTATAAAACCCAAAAATATTTGTATCGGTATCAGCCTTCAAAATCCTTTATCGGTCGGGCTCTAATTAAAATGAATATTTTTTTGGAGTAACTATTTTAATAAGGCAATAAGCCCAGTGAAGCTGTGTTTTACAGTGAGTGTAGAAGAGATGAGGGGGTTTAGGCACTCCACGTCGAGTCTAACACCCCTCAGCTGATCTACACCCACTGTAAATCACGGCTTCACAGGGCTTATCGCCTTATTAAAACATAACTTACTGTGGTAACGTTAATACTCGCCAAAGCTGGCATTTTGACTTTATTTTGTGTGTATTTGACTGTTTAAGTGCAATAAGCAGGGAAAAATAACTGAGAGGTGGCTTTATGTGCTGCACTTTGGTGTGAGTGAGAAATTATGCTCAATACACACAATCCCTCGCTGAAATTCAAGCCCTGTCACTCGCTGTCGGAGAGATGAGAGAGAGTGCGTAGCTGGCATCATGGATCTATCCTGCGGGAAACGAGGACGGGAAGCGTTTCAGATATTTTAGTAGCGAAATGCATCATGTTTTTGACACTAAATTTCACTTAGTTTATTATTTCAGGTGCCTTTTTAAAAGACTACAATTGAATAATGTATATTATATAAAATCAACCCGCTGAAGTGTGTAGTGTGTAGCACGCCACTGCTAAAACACACACACGTTTGCTAATGCTAATGTCAAGCCCTGGATCAGCATGTAATACACAGCTAGGTTAAAACCGAATGAAATTCAGCCAATCAGAGTTGAGACCGCGCTCTAAATAAAACAGTGTGTATGTGTGTGTGATGATGATGATGATCTGCTCAATAATTCTTGTTCGTGTGTTTGCTAGGTGGTGAAGTTGAAACAAGTGGAGCATACGCTAAACGAGAAGAGAATATTACAAGCCGTGTCGTTCCCGTTCCTCGTCAGATTGGAATACGCCTTCAAGGTACCTGACGTTACCATCATCATCAGCAGCAGATCAGTGTGTGTAACAGATCAGGGCGAGTGTGTAACGCTCTACAGTGAGGGTTCATTAGCTAACATGAGCAACACTTCTACATCTTAGTTGCACATTAATGTTCATTAACTTGCATTGGCAGATTAATAAACTCTGTAAATGTTTTACTCCTGGTTAGTTCATGTCAGTTAATACATTAACCATATTGTAAAATGTTACGATCTCCTGGTGCTGCTTTCAAAATCTACACACACGCATCCTACGTTCCATAGCTTTAGTTTAGTGACTTCTTTTACGTGTTCATTTTTTTTATCTATGGTGTACGTGTATTTTAATATCTTTTCTGCAATGTTCTTTATTTGTAAGCTAAAAAAACAAATGTAAGCAACAGTGTTTAGTTTAGAAATTAGAGATTTTCTTGTTAGTTTTGATAGAAAAGCATCAACGACAATCTGAATATAGCTTTAAAACTAGTAAACGGACATTAACGAGGAACAAAAATACATTACAAGCAATTATTTATTAGCGTTAATGTCAGCTTGGACTAATGCTCAGATCTGTGATGTTTACTGTCCCCCGTTGTGTAATCAACTGCTTACATTCATCATTCCTCATCATAAAAGCATTGAGATACACGAGTTTAAGCATCACAGATTTGACTTTTTGCCCCAACACTGAATTGTAAGCAGAATAATAACAGGGTTTCCGCGGGGTCTTAAAAAGTCTAAAATTCTGTACTTTTAAATTTAAGGCCTTAAAAAGTCTTAAAAACGGCCAGATTTTCATCTGAGGTCTTAAATTTGATTTAGTCAAGTCTAAAAAACGTTTTACCCTCGTTCATTTGCAAAACTCTGGCCGCAGAAATTTATTACAAAGTAGCAAAAGAGTCGTAGCCTACAAAGCAGAGCGCTAGAGCAGGGGTTCAAACTATTATATTATTATAATTTTACTATTAATAATAAAAGATAAGGGGATGTGCATGTGAATGTCAGTAAGTTATCATTTTTTTGACTCAATCTTTATATAAAAGATTATTTAAAGTGATTATATACACTACCGGTCAAAAGGTTTAGATCGGTAAGATTTTTTATGTTTTTAAAAGAAGTCTCTTCTGCTCACCAAGGCTGCAATTATTTGATAAAAAATACAAAAAAGTTAGTTTAAAACCTATTTTCATTTTAGTCCTAAGGTTTTGGGCATCTGGCACGTTGTTGGGTGTGGAAGTTTACTAATGTGATTGCTTTACCTATAAATTAAATTAATTAATCCTTTTCAATTACTGAATTCATTGAAATAAAATACTTTTTGCTGAATATTTTTCTATTAAAATGTTTGGTAATGCCGTCATGTAGGTCTTAAATTTTAATGTTTACAGTCTTAAAATGTCTTAAAAAGGTCTTAAATTTGACTTATTGAAACCTGCAGAAACCCTGAATAAGATAAGAAGCCAACATTTTTCATTATTATTATTTTACTATGATAGTAATTTAAACATAGCCTTTAAACACAGAATGAGAAACAGTGTTCTGTAACAGGCGAGTAGGAGTGTGTTTATCTTAATGTGGCTTTATTCTGCAGGATAACTCTAATTTGTATATGGTGATGGAGTATGTGCCGGGAGGAGAGATGTTCTCGCACCTCAGGAGAATCGGCCGGTTCAGGTGAGTGAAGCTGACTCGTTTCTGCCCAACTTCGGCTCGGGTTTATGCAAACGATGCCGCGTCGGATGGAGTTAGTGCTTATTGTTATCAAAAAAGTGAGTCCCATTTTATATTAAGTGGCTTTAAGTACTATGTACTCGCATCGAACAATAAGTACAATGGATTATTGTGTTCCTGTTGTATTGTGAAACAGTTTTGCTGCTTTTGAGTTGTGATGGGGCGGGGCGGTTTAAGGGTGGGTTAGGGTGTGAGGGGAGGGTCAACTATGTAATTACATAAATTAGTTACAGTTGTAATTACATGCTGGTATTTTTAAAATGTAAGTACAATGTAAAAACATGTATGAACACAATAAGTCCATTGGATCAAATTATTGATTTCAATGTAAGTGCATAGTACTTAAAGACTCTTAATATAAAAAGTTTAACTTGGATAATGGTGAAAATGTCTCATCCTGACAGCACTCAATCCAGCAATGAACTCAAGTGTGTATGTGTGTGTGTCAAACTGAACGCTTTAATTTAGGTGTAAAAGTGTGTGCCATTGAAGTAGACATGTGCCGGTATTCGGTAAATCTCGGTAATGAATATGCACAATATTGTTATCGCGGGCTCTTCAAAATACCGTGAAAAATAATAGATTCGAATTTAAACTTTTAGAGCGCATATTAGCTTATAGCATTATGTGATATATTTTTTTCTTGAGAAACATTAACATTTAGCCTACCTTATATTTATTCAAATGAGTCAATATTGAATTAAGACTGAAATCAAATTCAAGAATTTAACCCCTTAACTGTCACCCCCCTTTTGAGAATGGGGGTTAAATGCTCTATTCACACTTAAATGGTTGTAATTTAAGAATGCCTTGGAATATATACCCAAGTTTGGTCTTGTTTTAAAGAAAACTAAAGAAAACACTTCAAAAAATGAAAGTATGAAAAAGTTATGGAAGTTTTAATTCACAGTAAATCAAATATACTGTACTATATATTTTTTATTTTATATAAAATATATATTTTACAAAATATTTTTACTCTAAAATTACTATAAAATCAAAGCCATAAATCTAACCAAGTTATGTTCCATATTTGAAGTTGATATCACAAAAATTGAAGTTCCCATGAGATTTTGTTTAGGCGTAGTACCAAAAATAGCCACCGGGTGCCATTGAATTCCATTGAATTTAGTTGTGTACATTCTGCCTTAACAAATTAATACATTTCTGTCCAAATATCAATTTTGTCACAAAATTTGGAACCTTCAGACTCAGACCTTTCTGACAATATGTGTTTTGTCAAGATTAATAAAGGTTTTGATCATAAATTATGAAATATAAGGATGCCCAAAAGGGGAGGAGCCTCCCCTTTTGGGCGGAGGTACCGTTTCTATGGTAACGCAACGTTCAATTATAAAATGGTTTTCACAGGATGAATTCTGAGTTTATAAGCTTTCAAATGATACCTAATTTGTGATAACTACTAAAATGTGTGACATAATAAAAAAAGGCGATAAAAAATATTATTATATTTTAGAGGATAATATATACATATATATTATCAGTTTTAGAGGATAATTTTATACTATACTTTTATTTTTTATTGAAAAATACTAGATTATATGTTTTATTATGAACTTTTAGCATAAAAACAGAAGTTTCAATGATTAAAAGTGGGTGCATCAACTTTTTGTGACAAAGGTCAAAACTCCTGTTATGATGCAGATTTTTTTAGGTGCACTCTTGTCATAAATTCATTAATTACTCTTCCTACATAATTTTTAACACAAAACAGGGGTCGAATATTTAATTAGAAGTCTTAGACCTTTCCAAAAATATATAATTTGTCATAATTAGATTAGGATTTAATAGAAATATAGTGAAGTAAAGTTAGGCGTCCCGGTACCGGGACGGTGACAGTTAAGGGGTTAATTGAATAATACAAAAGGTAGCCTACCAGTCATTGTACCATGTAAACATTGTAACATATTGTCACTAAACTTTAAACAATTCTGTTTAGTTACCATATGTTTTGAAAATCACAATTACACATTGTGATGCAAGTTGTTGTTTTTTTTAGATACCACCAATGCATCTGTTTTTTAATATTGTGATAATTAAAATATCGTGATAATACCGCATACCGTGATAAAAGCTCAATCAATTAACCGCAGCATGAAAATTTGATGCCGGCACATGCCTACATTGAAGTAATGCTGTGCTGTATGGGGTTGGAATTATGGGTGTGCGATATAATAGCAAAAATATCATATCACATTCTTTCTTCATATGATTACATTTTTTAAATTCGTGATTTTTTTTTTTTTTAGATTTTTTTTTTTATCATGATTCTTTTCTTGTTGGTTTTACTATTTTGCAACTGACTGCCTTACAGTCAATCTAATGTCCCTATTTTAAAAACAAAGCATTATAGGTAAGAAAATGCATGAAAAGAATGGCGGACATTAAAGCCAAAGTTCTGAAGATAAAAATCTTTGTCTTTTTTTTTTCTTTGCATCTCCTAAATTTTTAATAACACATTACACATACACAACTGAAATAAACAGCTACAGTAGTTTATTTAAGTTTATTTTCAGCTACAGTTCTATAGGTGTATTTAACAGGAGCATTGAAGAAAACGAAATGAACAAATATGGAAATAAAACAATACAGTTAGTTACAATTCTACAGTTGTCAGTCAAGAGCAGTGAGTGATTTCCTCTGTGTTTTTGCTGTTTTATTAACATTAAAGGGATAGTTCTCCCCTAAACGGCAGCATGTTTACTATTAACTACGATAATTCTTCGAAAGCAGATCGTGGAGACATTTTAATCGAAACCCGTGATCTCGCACACCTCTAGTTGTATCATGTTGTGTCACTATATTCAGCAGTGTTCATAATAAACACAGATTCAGTAGTCATTCCCATTCCCAATACCAAATAAATGTAACGACTAATTCTGATGATTCTCTACGGAAAAGGACATAAATATGACGTGTGAGGAAAAAATGATATGTCAGTGCTTTTGAATTCTCTCACAAATGTTTTGTGTTCCCACACTGTAAAAAATATTATTGGTTTAACTTAAAAAAAATAAGTAACCTTAACCTGGTTGCTTTTAAAATTAAGTTCATTGAAATGGAAAAATTGAGTTACTACAATGGAGATTGATTTCATCATCAGAAAATCATCAGAAACTCTGAACTACATAAATTAAATGTTGTGATTACAAATCATGAAAATATTTGTTTACAGTGCATGAGAAACTTTGCGTTCACTCATAAAACATTAGCGTTATTTGCAAGCAAACGCAAATGTGTTTTCCTCCACTTCCATGTCCCTTTAGGGACTCTGTAACTTTCAGATCAAGGTAATCTGAAAGTAATCTGTGTAAGTGTTTGCATTATGTGGAGACTTGATTCCTGACCCAGCGTTTGTGTGTGTTCTGTCCCGCTGTCTGACTCTGGGATGTGATTGGTCTGATCGACAGTGAACCGCACGCACGGTTTTATGCGGCACAGATCGTCCTGACCTTCGAGTACCTCCACTCACTAGACCTCATCTACAGAGACCTGAAACCTGAGAACCTCCTCATCGACCAGCAGGGGTACATACAGGTAAGACAAAAACGGGATCTTTAACTCACGATCACACACACACAAGCTGACTCACACAGTGGCAGTTTCACATTGATATCAAACGCATTGAGTCGTTCACAGTGCGGGGGTGGCCCTTGAGGAGTAACCTGTAGATCCTCCTTTAGCAGCACAAACCTCCTCCAGTGGTTTCTTGGACGACTTTTGACCCATTTTGGACCAACCCTCCACACAAATCTGTCTATATTTCTGTTTATCAATGTTTCAGCCCTTTTTTTTAATAAGCAAGCAATACAAGTAAAAATAAGTACATAAAAAACAAATATAAACCAATATGAATGTGAAAAAAGCAAGTATCAGACAAACAAAATAGTTGATGACAAGCAAGATTGCATAATACAGAGAAAACTAGTTAGCCAACAAATAAACATACAAACAACATAAATCAGAGGGCAATACAGAAGAACCAGTCTCGCTCACATACACACATTATATATCTCCCTCTCCAGAATGTGTAGTATTGTAATTTGAGTAGTGAATATTAGGGCTGGGTAATAAATATCGATTTCTCGATATTAATCGATTCTCATTTTTACGAACCAATATCGATTCTTAAATCTCAAGAATCGATTAGTCATCCTGTTTCATTTGAATGAATGGGACATTGTATCGCGGCTGCGCGCATCCAAAAAATCGCAATAATCTTTGTCCTTTGTTACTATTGATATGAAACAAAGTCTCAATTTTCAAATTACGTCCATTTTCTTTAGAAATTCAAAAACATAAATAGAGTTTTGGCGCTGTGGCGTGAGATCGCTCTAGAGAAGCAGCAGCGCTGATCTCTCTTCCGGCTTAATAATACCAGTCACAGCGCGAAATAAACATGAATGAGCATCTGAAAGTGTGTTAAAAGATAGAGTACAACTTATCGAAATCCGTATCATGTCACATTGATTCGCTCAATCAGCGTTTCAACCGTGGAAAGACGTCAGTTAAACAGCTTGTAATCAATGTATCGTCATATTTACCTACAAAACCCACATAAACTCGTTAGTCAGCTAGAAAAAATAACTCTAGAGAGGAGCATTTTGCTAAATATATACACCATATTACATATGCATTATAATCTTAATGTTCTTCAATATTTAATGCATATTTGAATAAATCTGGCAAGTTTTTATGACAGCCACCATTTAAATGTTTATATTTCATATAATCTTCTTATTATAAAAGTGTAATTTAAGTGTTTGTAGCTACATTATTACCTTCATATTAGGCTAATGAAGCCTAGTAGGCTACAACTAGACTCCCATAGTTTACAGCATTAGTTAAGATTTGATTTCCTTGAGAAAATTTGCCATTTATTGTAACTGATATCAAAAATTATCGATATTGAATCGAATCCAATCTGAATCGAAATCAAATTGCAAGCTTGTGAATTGAAATCGAATCGAATTGTGAAAACTTTCGTCAGTTTTGACTTTGCATCATTGACTGTTGCATCATCCAGCATCTCTAAAGCTTGAGGTTGTGAACCGTCATCCTCACACTCTCCTGTATAATACCCTTATAGACCTTATGTAGCCCCGCCCCTTTTCTGACTTCCGGTCAGTCACAGCGATCTTGCATAGGTATGAATGAACTGCTCGTAAAAAAATTCCCGGTGGACATTTGTTAAGACATCTGCTCTACAATGCTTATGATAAACATTACAATGCTCATGATAACTTTTGTTAACTCAATAAGTAAATCCACTTCACCAGCTAATTACTCCTCGACAGCGATGCCATAGAAATATACAGAACTGGAAGTTCAAAGACAATATTCTAAAGATGACGGCGCCCACGTTTCTCTGGTGCATAAGGTCTATACTCTTCATGAACCCACCAGTTTCTCAGTTGGGAAGAGGTGTTGGTGTGCTGTGCCTTTCTCCTCTAAACTAAGCGTCAAGTATTTTTCTATAGCCGTCGATGAAAGCGAGAACTCTGATTGGCTGTTCTGCTCTGCTCTGCTGTTTCCGCACAGGTCACAGACTTCGGGTTTGCGAAGAGAGTAAAAGGCAGGACCTGGACGTTGTGTGGGACTCCGGAGTACCTGGCGCCAGAGATCATCCTCAGCAAGGTCTTCCTCACACTGTTCTGTCTCGGTACACACACACTTCCCTCTGGGCCGATCACTAATGTGCTGTTCTCATCTAGGGGTACAACAAGGCTGTGGACTGGTGGGCTCTCGGCGTGCTCATATATGAAATGGCGGCTGGATATCCCCCGTTTTTTGCAGACCAACCCATCCAGATCTACGAGAAGATCGTGTCTGGAAAGGTACTGGCGGGTCATTGTGTGCTCAGCTGAGCGGTGGGGCCGCTGGCCGGGGGAAGTGACGTGTTGGGCGTGTGTTGCAGGTCCGGTTCCCCTCGCACTTCAGCTCGGACCTGAAGGACCTGCTGAGGAACCTGCTGCAGGTGGACCTCACCAAGCGCTTCGGGAACCTGAGGAACGGGGTCAGCGACATCAAGAACCACAAGTGGTTCGCCACGACGGATTGGATCGCCATCTACGAGAGGAAGGTACGATGCTCAGTTTAAACCTCCTCCATAGTGAGTGTCGTGGGTTTTTCATTTCTGATGCTGCTTTCCTGTTCAGACCTCCTCCACCAATCTGAAGTTTAGATTTTATTATGTTTTTGAAGAAAGTCTCTTCTGCTCGGTAACGCTGCGTTCAATAACACAGAGATATGTGAAATATTATTGAAATTTAAAATAGCTGTTTTCTATGTGAATATACAGGAACATGTGACCATGGACCACAAAGCCAGTCACATGTCTCACAGGTGTATCTGTGGCAATAGCCAACAACACACTGTATGGGTCAAAATCATCGATTTTTCTTTTATGCCAAAAATCATTAGGATATTAAATAAAGATCATGTTTCATGATGATATTTTTGTCAAGTTTCTACTGCAAAAAAATAAATAAATATATATATATATATATATATGAAGCGTTCAGATGCAAAAGCCTCTAAATGCCATTTGAAATTTTCTTCTTTAATGATGATTTTTATCAAACTTGTATATTTAAGTTCAGTAATTTCATTTAAATAACAATTAATAGGTAATTATCATTGCCATTTAAGTGAAATCACTGAACTTAAATATACAAGCTTGATAAAAATCATCATTCTAGAAGAAAATTTCAAATGGCACTTAGAGGCTTTTGCATCTGAACTCTTCATATATATTTATACTCACAATAATATTGTTTATATATATATATATATATATAAAATCAATATTATTGTGAGTGAATGCAACACAAGCAGAAACAAAAATAGACAACTTTTTTTTTACTTTTTTACACCAAGATTATTTTTTTACACCTTTATATTTCCCAATAGTTTCAAATAGGCCAAAGTAATGTCATATCCTGACAAACCGTACATCAGTGTAAGATTATTTATTCTGATGCTGTATAAAACTCAATTTAAAGTTTTGCTGTGTTTTGTTGCTTCATATTTTTGTGGAAACAAATTCCCATGATCGATCGTCGTTCAAATTAACAATCAATTAATCGATTAATCGTTAGTCTTAATACTGTATTATGCGTCTGCTCAGTGTCATATGGCCAACAGCAGAACAGGGTCTGTAAATGCTGCTCAAAACACTATGTTCCTCACCAAATTAATGAGAATGTTTTTTAATCTAAATAAAGGGCTAGTAGGATTGTAAAATATTTCGATGTGATTTGATAATTAAATTAATTATTTAATAATCAAATAAAACGACAATATAACGTGTCACCAACCGCCTCAGATGCACTTGTCAGAATGTGTGACTGTTGTGGACGTGCTCTTCCTGAACAACGCACTGAAAACGGCAACTAAATCCAATGATTTCACAACGAATTAATAAAATAGTCTTCTCATGTTATGTGATATGACAGTCCCAGTTTAATCATCATAATTATTAGTTGTGCATTCTGCTTAAGCGGGGCGCGCTGTATGCATAACCATTGAGCACTTTGCTAGTGAGTTTTTTAATTCAAAGAAACGCATCCTATATGAGATTAATCAGATATATACGAAATAAACATAATATTACAGTTTATATCTGCATAAAAATGACGTGAATGCACAAGTGAGCTTGAGCTAGGCCTACGTGCCATTCAGAATGATTCATGTTGTGGACGCGCTCTTCCTGGAACAACGTGACACGGCAACTCAACCCAAAATAATTCAGTGTTTTATTACAATATTGTTTTCTTCATAGTGTTACATAACAAAAGGCTGCGAATGCACACGCCAACTTATTGTCATGATGAAGGTGTAAACGTAGTCCCAAACATAACTCCGGCGGAAGAAGAATTTTTTTCACTTTAATCCCTGTATATTGATATTATTGATAGTGTGTTTTGGGTCATGATATTTTTATGTACTGTGTATAGCTCTTCCTTCATGTATTTTAATGATTGTGTTTTTATATTGTTGTACACACTCGTGCTGACGCGTGTTCCTCCTCCAGGTGGAGGCGCCGTTCATACCAAAGTGCAGAGGCCCCGGAGACACCAGCAACTTCGACGACTACGAGGAGGAGGACATCCGTGTGTCTCTCACAGAAAAATGTGCAAAGGAGTTCTCAGAGTTTTAATCATGGACACATCAAAGCATATATACACATATGTGCTCCTCTATATATGTGCATATATGTGTGTGTGTGCGTCACACGACACGTCAAATAAGGGTATCTTTGCACTCTAAAGACATGGGATGAGCAGAGAGCACATCACCCTTCCTTCATTCCTCCATCCATCCATCCATCATCCGGCTTTAGAGAGGTCAGAGGTCACTCTTAACCGTCACACACTGGCACATCTCTCACTCCTGTAACTCACTCTCGTCCTCCGTTAAACGAACCCCGTTTGAAAGATGCTTTAGTACACTCGAAGGCCGATTCAGCATTGTTACTCTTGATTTAGTTGTTCACGGCAGCGTCTCTCAGTGTTGTGAAAGGTAGGCGTCGCCTATTGGCATTTCTGGTGTTACACGTCGTTTTATTTGATTTTTACCGTAGACCAAAACAACTGACAACTTTCTTTTGTTTTGTTTGTTTGTTACATGTGCAAATCTGTTGAATTCAGAGTGTATTTCTGTTATCTGAAGCACCGTGTGTGTGTGTGTGTGTGTTGAAAGCATGACCAAACGTATCATGTTGTGAATGGTGGCGGCGGTGGAGATCCCGAAGTTACAGCGATCTCGACGGTACACTGAAGGTCCAGTCTCATGCATATACTGACAGATGATGTTAGCAATATGAACTATATCTTATTTTACCACTTCATTATGCAAAGGTTTTATTCTCAAGTGTAAGATAGAACCGGTTCACTTTGATCATTTTAAGAGTGCTGTTTATTATCTGATATTTAAAACTAAGGAAAACAGCAGATGTATTGGTGCGGCGTGCTGTGGGATGAGGATCGGGAACCAGCAGCTTCAGTCCTGAGGGGTTCACTTCAGAGTTACAATCTCATGATCGTTTACTCTCTCACACGCCACTCAAGATCAGGCTGAGTGTCACCAAGAGTCTTGAAAAGTCTGGAAGTCTGGAAACCTGGGAATAAATTATGCTTTAGCGTGAATGGACCGAATCAGTCACTTCACTCTCGGGCTTGTTCAGTTCCAGCTCATCGGTCACTGCTCGAGAGAAATCAAAAACTTCCAGTTTAGTGTTCGTTTTCTTCTATTTTCCACATTTATTCCTGTCGTGATCTCTGCGAAGACTTGCTCGTACTCCCGTTGCTTCAAAAATGCACCTGCCCACAATGCATTGTGTCTTAGAGGTGCCATCTGACATAATAAATCAAATCCTACTCTATATTCCATAACAGATGGGGGCAGTATACCTCCAGAAAATGAGTTGTGCTCCTACCATCGCGCATGTTATTCAAATCATTTGACACGATAGTAAAAGGTTGGAAGGCCGCAGTTTCACGTGGAGCATTTGGAGATTTTTAGAGATCAGAGACTCAATGAACAACATCTCGACACTAAATGATGAAGACCGCCTCATAGACGCCTGTCTCAAAAACAAGCGGGTGCGTTTCGATGATATGGGTAAATAAAAGCTTGGGCAATTATTTGAAGTTTATGGTATTCGTTTTGTTTATATTACACTTTTATTGTTCGTTTGAATTAATTTGAGAGACAGTATTGGCTGATGTTGATCAAGCTAGCGCCTTTCAGAGTTGCCAACTCTTAACGAATTCACCGTGAGACACACGCAATTGACACTTAGCAAGCAGGTTAGTTAAGCTCTCAGATTCTGTCAATTTTATTACGCAATTCAAAGAATAAATATCGTTTTGGCGCTTGTACATGTTACACCACAGATCCCTAGCGCACGTGAACCGATCGTCTCTACTAGCTAATGGAAAAAGAACACGAACACTGTTGAAAGATACAGTATGCTACAACTTACCAAAATGTATTCCTCATGCATAATATCGACCAATCATTTTTTTTAACTCTTCCCTGAACTGAAATGTAGCAGTGGGCTGTATTTCCACATGACTGACATCAGGTTCAAGTACACACAAGCCGCGCGAGTTACTCGTGTACTGCAGTTTGGCTGGTGGTAATGTTGCCCGTCCGCATACCGCCTCCCATGGCCGAAACTGGTATTACGACACCTGCCGGGCCGGGGCTAGTAATTTAGCATGCTAATTTAGGTTTATATCTCGGCAGCACTATAACTTGTCAGTTTTTTAATGACATCATTGCACTTATTTCTTCTCATTCTTTTGATGCGTGTAGCTCATTTTTTTATATTTTTACCTCAATTATTACATATGGCACCTTTAAATAATCCATAAACACAGTAGATTACTGTTGAAAATGGGCTTTAAATTCAATTATTGCCCAGAATGCTTTGTTTTCTACAGTATGTTACTGTTTTAGTGGAGAATTTGGTAATTTTTCCAGCACTTGTTTCCAGTGTGCAGTGCTGGAGAAACCAATTAAAAGCTTCGGATGCTGGTCTGATGTGAACCTAAACATCATGCAAGTGAAACACATAGGGGGATATCATCCCTGATCAGTGACCGCTCACCCAGGAGGAACCAAAGTTTCATCTGCCCTGTCTTTCAGGCTAAAAATAAACATTTATATGCTTTTAACCATAAATGCTCAAAAATCTCATTTTCTCCTCTAACTTCAAAATCGTGACGTTGTTTTACCTTTTATTAGATTTTTTTTGTAAATGGCGTTTGACTTAGTCTTTGCACGTTCGCTCTGTAAACACTCGGCCAGTACTTGCGCCTACGTCCCGCTTGACCTTTCAATGTGATTATGTAATGTGTGGCGCATCACAGCTAGTGTAAGACCAGCATTTGTGGTTACAAAGTATATAAATGTTTATTTCTTTATAAAATGGGGACGAATAGTCTAAATAAGACTCTTATTCCTCGGCTGGATCATATCGAGACTTTGAAGCCGCACTGAAATTCACATCTGGACCTTCGACCCGTTGGACCCCACTGAAGTCACTATATGGAGAAATATATAGAGGAGTGTTTTCATCAAAAACCTTCACTATATTCTATCTTTCAACTGAAGAAAGGAAGACATGAACATCTTGAGTAAATTATCAGGACGTTTTAACTTTGAAGTGAACTACTGTTTTAACTCGAACCGAACCTGATGATTACTCTCCTTCCAGTAGCTTTCTAATACTCCTGAAGCCCTCGATCAGGTGTGTGTGTGTGTGTGTGTGATCCTCCAGGACTGAAGCTGCTCACCCCTGGATCTGATCATCACAGCGAGGCACTTATCAGTTACTTATGTTCACGTTTTTAAATCGTTAACGTTGAAGCCGTTTTGCAAAGTTCTCTCTTAACTGAAAATTGTAAAACTGCCAAAACTCATGGTTTTTTTTTTCTTTCCGTTGTTACTGTTGAACTTCTGTCTTTCTGTTCTTTTCTTTGACCGAATGTAGTGTTGAAACTTCTAGGTATGCATATTGTTTGAAAAGTTTGACTTTTGAGGTACATTCTCACAGACATATACTAAGAAACTGAATATGTTACAAAGAAAGCGAGAAAAGCCGAGGTCAGCGAGCCTCTTCTTTGTATCACATATAATCCAGTTATTGTTCAGCTCATACTGCGTATATGCATTATTTCTTATAAATGTTTTTATTTATACACATATTAGAGAGATGCTAATAAATTTTATTTTTAAGATTGGTTGTTCTCTTTCAATGTGTGCAAATGATCTTTTACATAATATCAATTAGGGATTTATTTTGCTTTTAAAAAAATCACCTTTTCAGTCATTGTCGAGATAGCGTTGTACCGTCTCAAGCTAAAGGTTACATTTTAATACATGTTGGCATATTTCTACAAAACTACTCCATTAGAAACAGTTGGTTTAATACAAGTCTAGTGGAGAGGTGCTGTTTATACAAACATTGATTATGCACATACATAAAGCACATATAAACAGAAGATGAAACATGATGATCGTGAGCCATCACTCTTTATTAAGTCTAAATACGATATAATAGACAGATGCAGGACATGACGTCACAGTCAGTGGAGGTGTGAACTGTTGTCTCTCTGAAGACACACACACACACAGCGAAAAAAAAATATTGGATTAACTTTAAAAAATAAGTAACCTGGTTGCCTTAAAATTAAGTTGATAGAAATGGTAAAAGTGGGTTATTGCAATGGAGATATAACTCAAAATAATAAGTTATCTGAACTAAATAAATTAAGTTGACTTGACAAAAGAAAAAATGTGATAAATTTTGAAAATATTTTTTTTTACAGTGCACTGATGACTGAACACACTTCAGAATCGAATTCATCTTCTTTGCAAGATATAAACTCGCAATTCTGACTTTATATATCATAAAAGTCAGAAGATATAAATATTTGTGAGAATAAAAATGACCTTTTATATTTTTTTATCTGTGGTTTCAATCCTCCACAGTGAACCTTGCTTTCTGGAAACCTTTACTGGTCAAGCATCATTGTACATAGTACATGTGAATTAGTGGAAAGTGTTTTATGCTGATGCTCTCTGTTATTTATACCACCGTAAATCCTGATGCATAAAATAGTGGTGGAATAAGTGTTACGAGGCCTTTGCAACATGATGGCCATACAACGTAATCAAATTTGCGGAAATATGTACATAATAATTTATTATGATAAATAATTTAATCAGGAAAACAAACAGTAGCCCTTAAACCGTCTTCACTTTATAGCCCTTAATCCTGTAATTGTGGACAAGTGTGGGCACAGAGGACTCAAGTGTGATCCTAATTTTTATTTATTATAAGTGTTATATCACTGTCTTCGATATAGATTTGTCTATCCATTTATGATGTTTTTATTTTATTTTGGGGGTATTTTTGAATTTATTTACTTTAAAAAGTACCATATTTTTGTATGTAAATTATGCTTATTTTTGTTTCATTTTTTTAACTACATTAAAATATCATTCCAATAAGTTCTTAGAGCTAAAACCTAAAGATGAAGTGACTTTGCCGTCACCTGGTGTCTCATTTTGGCTTATTTTAGAATGCTCTAAATTACAGTTTTTCCCATTCATTTCTATGGGTGCCTATTTTTTCCACTTAATATTGTTTTTCTTTCATCCACTTAATATTGACAGAAGGGTACAAAAGGTAACATACAAGGTATAAAAAGCTTCCCATTTAAATGAGTGATACTAGAAAAGTATAAAAACTCGGAACACATTAAAAAAAAGTAAAAAATAAACTCACAAGCCTGTGAGCATCATGGCCAATCCTCACGGCACTGAACCCGAGGACATCAGAGACACCTAATGGACACAATACAATACTACACCCGTGATCAGCAACTCCAAGCAGACCAGCCCAAAGGATAGCAGCTAACTCCATCAGCGGCTTACAGCAGGGTCGTGATGACGGCACAGCAGTTGAGAGGTTTTTTATGGAGCGAATTATGTGCCGAAACCTCACACACACACACACACAAAACGTGTTTTACTCAGACCCAATGATTCACAAACAAACTCAGTGTGGTTTGTAAATACAAAACATCACTTCACAAACTAATCCATATTGTTCTGCAAATAAAAAACGTACCTATCAAACAATTACAGTATGTTTTACAAACGTATTTCTTCAATGACGAAAATATCCTGCAAGTACAAACTAAAATATTTAAAAGTACAAAGCAAAATTCTACAAGTACAAAACAAAATTCTACAAGTACAAACTAAAATATTTAAAAGTACAAAGCAAAATTCTACAAGTACAAAACAAAATTCTTCAAGTACAAAACAAAATTCTACAAGTACAAAGCAAAATTCTACAAGTACAAAACAAAATTCTACAAGTACAAAGCAAAATTCTACAAGTACAAAACAAAATTCTACAAGTACAAAGCAAAATTCTACAACTACAAAGCAAAATTCTACAAGTACAAAACAAAATTCTACAACTACAAAGCAAAATTCTTCAAGTACAAAACAAAATTCTTCAAGTACAAAACAAAATTCTACAATTACAAAACAAAATTCTACAAGTACAAAACAAAATTCTTCAAGTACAAAACAAAATTCTACAACTACAAAGCAAAATTCTACAAGTACAAAACAAAATTCTACAAGTACAAAACAAAATTCTACAACTACAAAGCAAAATTCTACAAGTACAAAGCAAAATTCTACAAGTACAAAACAAAATTCTACAAGTACAAAGCAAAAAATTCTACAAGTACAAAGCAAAATTCTACAAC